ACACACACACACACACACACACACACACACACACACACACACACACCCTTCCCATCATCCGCGTCCAGGCAGTTGCTGATTGGCTGCGGGGAGCAGCGTCCCAGCTTCCCGTCTCCGAGGCGGGAGCCGAGCAGGTCCGAGGTGGGAGGCGCACTAACCGGCTCTGGGAGCCCCTCCCGAGTCCCTGCGCCCACTGCCCTGTGCCCTACGCGAGGGCCGTGCCAGGACTCCAGGCAGGCAGGTGCGGAGCGAGCAGAGGGGACCACGGCCAAGGGTAGAAGCAAGTACAGCGGGAAGGAGAGGCGCTGCTGCTCCAGCTGCTGCCTCCGCCGCCGCCACCACCGAGCCGGCGTCCAGAGCGGGGCTGGCAGGCCGGGTGCGGAGACTAGGGGAACGAGGGGCGAGCTCATGGAGCACACGCACGCCCACCTCGTAGCCAACAGCTCGCTATCTTGGTCCCCTGGCTCGGTCTGCGGCTTGGGCTTCGTGCCCGTGGTCTACTACAGCCTCTTGCTGTGCCTCGGTTTACCAGGTGAGGAGCGTGCGGGAGAGGGAGGAAGCCAGGAGCCCCAAGTGCGGAGCAACCCTGCCAGAGCCCCCAGGTCTCGATACCCTCACCTTGCGATCCCTGGCGCTCCCTCTGAAAAAGTTTAAGCCTTAAGGGCAACTGCGGACATTTCCAGACTGGGGGAAAGGAAGTTGCTGTGGCCTGGCGGGGACTGTGTGTGTGTGTGTGTGTGTGTGTGTGTGTGTGTGTGTGTGTGTGTCACGAGCGTGCGTGGCAGCTGATGGGCACGGTGTATGGGTTGGTGTGAGTGTGCGCATGGATTCGAGTATTTGCATGCGCATCTGAAGGGATCCGCATCCCTGAGGGTGTCCAGTGGGGGCCGTGTATGTGACCTGACCGCACCTGCCAACAGATAGTTTGGTGGGGGCTTCACTTCTCCCGTCGCCCCCCATGTCCACCTCAGCCTGAGGAAACCTCTGCCCCTGTGCCCCACCGCTGTCCCCGCCTGATTCCAGGTGAAGCGGGAGACTGATGCCCAGCACACTTTCTCTGGGGCCACTGGGATGGAGCAAGGGATGAGCCCCTGTGACCCCTAAGCGAAGAATGGGTCTCCAGGCAGGCTAAGAAGGGTCAGGGTGGCTCTGGGACCATGCTTTGACCAGGGCAAGGATCCAGAGACACACACAGAATGCGGAGACCGCCACTTCAGGGGGTCACAGTCTCCTTGAGGACATGCCTTGCCCCCTGGCTTTGCTTCCCTATCTACCCACCCTGGGCAGCTGACGACTGCTGCGGATGTCTAGCTGGTCCCACATCTTAACGTCCTCTCCAAAGTGTGGCTGAGACTGGTGCTGAATTCCTGAAGAGAGCTGAGCTGCTGGGGGCTGGGGGGTGCTTGCTATTTGTGAGAGAGGAGGAGGGGTTTCCTGGGGTTCCAGCTTGAGATAAACCCTTCTTCCAGATAGTCCCTGAGACAGTCTGTGTGCAGAAAGATTCCTAAAGATCACTTGCAGGGAGATGAGAGAGGGACAAAAGGAAGCACAAAGAAAAAAATCCAATGTACAGCCTAGAATCATAGCATCATCTACCCTGTCATTCCGCATCCCAGGATCCTGGGAACTTGAGAGCTGGATTTGAGAGGCTTGCTGAGATTTCCTTTTCAAAACATTCAACTTGGTGGTCAGGGGCCCTGATAAGGTTGTTTAAATACATGCCCCCTCACAAATTTTGGCAGGCACAGAAAAGCATAAGTTTACAATTACTGAACCTCTCTCCCAGCAAGTGATGAGGTTTTTATTACTAACTAATCGTTCTGGCTGCCCTGGGAGACACTCAACCTCTGATTCGCCCTGCTGGGGCAGCAGCACTTGTCCTGTAATTACCTTGAGCAGGAATTGATTTCAGTCCAGTCCCCACCTCCCCGTCAGCCCTCCTGGGCCTCTCCCAGAGCTCTCTTAAGGTGAGTGAGTTTTTGAGAAGGTTGGTTATTGGTGACACTTGCTGAACCAGAAAAGTGACAGGGCCCCTTTTCCCTTCAGCTCTCACATCAGAATTAGTCTGACCCCTCCACCTTCACCCCTACATCTCCTCTGCTGACTAAAGTAGCCACTCTCCCAGGCTTTTCTTCTGAAAACCCTTTAAGGGACAGAAACATAAAGACAAGGAGAGGCTCCAAAGGTCCAGAGCAGGAACATGAGGATGAGCAGAACAGGGAAAAGCTCAGACCTTCAAACACCTCAAGGTGGAAGGCAAAATACCTCACATCTCCACAGCATAACTCCTATGCCAGCTAAGGGCCTTTCTGACCCATAGCATTGGCACCTATTGTGTGCCAGACAGTGCTAGGCACAGGCTCATCAAGGCTGAGCCCAGGATTTGGAGACTGAAAGGAGGGAGGGATCGGGATGAGAACTTGGAAGGCGTTGATGAGTACTTGGAAGGCGTTGATGAGTACTAAGAGTTGTGGCCACCTACTGTGTGCCAAGTGCTAAAGAGGTGCCTAAGGGACTCGGGGATCCTTAAGGTACAGTCCCTGAGTTCAAGGAGCTCACAAGTAGAGTTTGTGGTAGATGCAAGGACCAAGCATTCTGGAAAAGGATGACTGAAGAGGCCAGGCTTTCGGGAAGACCATGGGCTGATAATGGTTTTGTTAATGGTTTGCAAGGTGGTTCAAAAGTAAAATACTTAAGTCATTCTCTTAGAACCATAAGGGCAGGCAAGTATGTCCTGGTACCTAAGAATGCACACTACAGAATGAAGCTGGGTATTAACATGTGGACCTTCTGTGACTCTGTGCCTCTGTTTCCACATCTGTAAAATAGGCATTAGGACAGCAGCTAACTCCTGGAATGATGGTGAGAAGTAAAAATGTTGATGGAGATGATGGTGCAAGTTAAGCACTCAGCTCAGGGCCTGACGCACCACACACTGATTACCACTGTGGTGCGGCAGTTGTGGTCATCATGAAGCTGATTTGGCTGTGAGGAGGGGGGCTGCTTGGCATGTGAGCCAGAGAAGGGGCTGGGAGCCACAGGAAAAGCACTTAGCTCAGCGCCTTACTCCTCCTGCTGAGCTCACTACAGTATTCCCCCCCCGCCCCCCCCCAGCAATTAGCAAACCCTCATTACCCTGCTACTGACCGGGATGCACAGCTATGCTGGGTGTGAAGTAACAGACCCCAGGGCTTGGTAATATTGTTGAAAACTGAGATTTTAATTGAATCACTTTTCCTGGCAGTGGACTCATCCCATTTCCAAATTCTCACAGGGATGGTTGAAAACATGGGTGGGAACCAAGGGGTGGATGGGGAGTGGCTGAGTGTTTGGCAATAGGGGAGCCATTAACTAGGAGAAAGCACAGATGTTTCTTACCACCTTCAGTCTCCAGACTGAAAGGAAGAGCTTAGGAAAAGCATGTGGTCCAATACCCTGCCTCTAGGAATGGCCCCAGACAGTCTAACTTAATTGGTATGGCATGGGTCCCAGGGGGTCCTAATGTGAAGTATGGGCAGTTAAGAACTCTTAAGAACTTAAGAACTCTTAAGAATCTGCCACTTAAGAACTCTTAACTTTCTGTACCATAATTTTCCCCACCTATAAAATCAGGGTAACAGCAGTATCTACTTACCCACACAGATAGTATATATTAAATAAGATTGTCTATATAAAATGGCTTAGCACAGTGTCTGGACTGAGGAAAGCACTTATTAGTGCCTTCTCCACACTGGATCTTTTTGCATGTTAAATACTTAGATTATTGTACTTAATCCCCACCACATCCCTGTGACCTGTACGTGTCTCTGAACCCATTTTATGGATGAGCAAACAGATTCAGAGAAGTGGAGCATCTTGTCTATAGTCACACAGTCACGCCAGTGTGCAAACACCTGCTCTTTCAATTGCACCACAGTGCCTTCATTATTGCCAGGAAGTTCTTTTAACTAACCTCAGTCCTTCATGCTATGTGCTCGATGGAAAAAATTGGTGTCCCAGCTATCCCTAAAACTCTGTCTCTTTTCTCCTCCTTTTAAGTAAGCAAGATGTTTCTAATCTTTCAAAATGCATACAATAAGCCAGCCAAGCGAACAAGGTAGAGCTGGGGACACTGATGAGGCCAACTAGGACAAGACAGTAAAAAGCAGAAGGCAGTGCAGGAGGAAGAGATGAGCCTGATGCCTGGGGGGGCGAGAGCGGCAGAGAAGACAGGTGAGCCTGGCCGATAAGGAAGGAGCAGCACAAAATTAAACTGAGATTCGAAAGATATTTTTTAAATTTTACTTTCTAAAAGGCACCAGGGATGTTAAAGGAGACAAGGTAAGGAAGATGATAGTCTGAAACCACACACCACCCAGCTGATAGGAGCATTTCTGCAACTGCCAATAGGGGAGCCAGTAACTAGAAGAAAGCACAGGTTAATACCTGCCTGTGAGGGTCGGTGCGAGATGGAGACGATGAGTCTGTCACCTGGCAGACAGTCAGTGCTGTGACACACAGTAGTTACAGTTATTGTTAACCAGGGGTGGGAAAATGGTGACCAGTAAGATGGACTGAGTACTCCAGATGTGTTCTCATTCACCTGTAAACATCTTTCGAGAAAATCTAGTAAACAGGTTAAGAGTATAAGGTCTGGCGATAGACCTCTGGGGTCTGAGTCCTGGCTTTGCTACTTATAAGCTATGTGACCTTAGGTAAGTGACTTTAACTACTCTGTGCCTCACTTTCCCATCTGTAAAATGGGATGATGGTAATAATGGCACATACCTCGCAGAGTTGCTGTGAGGCTTCAGTGGGTTATTCATTTAACACACTGCCTGCCACACAGTAAGCACTCTATAAGTCATTTTTTTCATCATTTAAAAAGTTAAGGAAAAATTCTCAACTTGTTTTATGACACCTGTTTTACCCTAATGCCAAAACCAGACATTATAAGAAAACTACTGACCAATATTCCCCATGAACACAGACACACACAAAAAAATTCCTCAAGAAAATATTACCAAATCTAACTCAGGAATATATAAGAATGATAATAAACCAAGACAAACTTGGGTTTATTCCAGGAATGCAAGGCTGGTTCAACATTTGAAAATCATCAGTGTGACCTACCATATTAAAAAAAGGAAATCCACATGATCTTCTCAATAAATGCAAAAAAAAAACTATTTGACAAAATTCAATATCCATTCATGATAAAAACTTATCAAACTAGGAATATAGACAGAACTTCTTTAACCATCAATAAGTAACCTATAGCTAAGATCACATTTAATGATGAAAGATGGAATGTTTTCCCTCTAAGATCTGGAGCAAGGCAAGGATATCTGCTCTCACTACTCAGATTCAACAGCATACTGGAAGTTCTAGCTGGGCAAGAAAAAGAAATAAAAGGTATACTGGAAGGAAGAAATTAAACTGTTTCTATTCACAGATGATACAATTGCCTTCAGAGAAAATCACAAATACGCCACCAAAAAAAGTTCCTAAGAACTATTGAGTTCAGCATGTTTATAGGACACATTGTTAATT